CTAAGAACCAGTTAAGGTTTATCAGTTACCATGTAGGTGAACTAAGAACAGTTAATGTTTATCAGTTACCATGTAGGTGAACTAAGAACCAGTTAATGTTTATCAGTTACCATGTAGGTGAACTAAGAACCAGTTAATGTTTATAAACCAGTTACCATGTAGGTGAACTAAGAACCAGTTAAGGTTTATCAGTTACCATGTAGGTGAACTAAGAACCAGTTAATGTTTATCACTTACCATGTAGGTGAACTAAGAATCAGCTAATGTTTATCAGTCACCATGTAGGTGAACTAAGAACCAGTTAATGTTTATAAACCAGTTACCATGTAGGTGAACTAAGAACCAGTTAATATTTATCAGTTACCATGTAGGTGAACTAAGAATAAGCTAATGTTTTTCAGTCACCATGTAGGTGAACTAAGAATCAGTTAATATTTATCACTTACCATGTAGGTGAACTAAGAACCAGTTAATGTCTATAAACCAGTTACCATGTAGGTGAACTAAGAACCAGTTAAGGTTTATCAGTTACCATGTAGATGAACTAAGAACCAGTTAATGTTTATCACTTACCATGTAGGTGAACTAAGAAACAGTTAATGTTTATAAACCAGTTACCATGTAGGTGAACTAAGAACCAGTTAAGGTTTATCAGTCACCATGTAGGTGAACTAAGAACCAGTTAATGTTTATCAGTCACCATGTAGGTGAACTAAGAACCAGTTAATGTTTATCAGTTACCATGTAGGTGAACTAAGAACCAGTTAATGTTTATCAGTTACCATGTAGGTGAACTAAGAATCAGTTAATGTTTATCAGTTACCATGTAGGTGAACTAAGAACCAGTTAATGTTTATAAACCAGTTACCATGTAGGTGAACTAAGAATCAGTTAATGTTTATCAGTTACCATGTCCGAACTTTTCTCCAGATTAGTAATATTTGATGGAACTGTTTGCTAACTTCATTATTTCTGTCTTTATTGATAAAATACTAATCTACGCTACACCTCAAAGCCAAAGTTATCAGTTCCTAATACAACAGCTAAGGCAGTGATAGCAAGTTATCAGTTCCTAATACAACACACAAGGCAGTGATAGCAAGTTATCAGTTCCTAATACAACACATCAGGCAGTGATAGCAAGTTATCAGTTCCTAATGTAACACACAAGGTAATGATAGCAAGTTATCAGTTTTTAATATAACACACAAGATTATGATAGCAAGTTATCAGTTCCTAATATAACACACAGGGTAATGATAGCAGGTTGTCAGTTCCTAATACAACACACAATATTGTGATAGCAAGTTATCAGTTCCTAATATAACACACAAGGTAATGATAGCAAGTTATCAGTTTCTAATGTAACACACAAGATTATGATAGAAAGTTATCAGTTCCTTATACAACACTATGTTTCTGGTTGATAACATATTAAGCTTGGCCATGATCTATGTTTCTGGTTGATAACATATTAAGCTTGGCCAAGATCTATGTTTCTGGTTGATAACATATTAAATCAATTGATCGTGACGTCTGTAGAACGATTCTCGCTACTTATTCTTGGTTTAAAACTCATGTTGGAGAAATGCCTTTCTGAATGGTTATACACTCCACATATCGTTCTCATGATCCCGGGCTTCGTTTGAGGTAAAAATGATTTTCTAAAACTTTAAACAACTGGTCTTTCTTAGAGATGAGGTGTGAGAGAAGCTTCACGCTTTGAAACGTCTACTTATTATGTGTACCTATTATGAAACTTTTATGACAAGCTTTTCGGGAGTTTCTTGAAATTCATGGAATCAGTGTTGTTGTTTTTTAGCTTGGATGATGTTTCTGTTTCAGGATTTAAAATATTTTAAAAAAGTTGTTCATTTATTTTAGGTATCTGTAGCACTCTTTGTATGATAATAATAATAATGACCTCCTATCAAAGAAAAGTATGTGTTTAGAGCGAAACTAAAAATCAACCTGTCCATCAGCATATCTAATTAAATATAACTTTCTTACGTTTCTACTTATAAGGATTAAAATACGATGTTTCATCACTTGGGTACCTTCACTGTTAACGACATTTTCGGCCGTAATCCCAATAATATCTCATGACGTTTGGCTAGCTTATGACATTTAGGTTAGTCCTACATACGTATTTTAAACTAGCAATGCGAAACAATCTCTGTAATAAACAATAAATCGAGATAAAAAGTAATGACATTCATTTTTTTTAATTTTTAACTTGTTTGTAGTTAAGCACAAAGTTACATAACTGTATAATAAGCCTTCACTTATCACTGAGCCACTGTGGGGGGGGGGGCTGTTTTTAAGACACAAAGCTTGTTTTGTTTTGTTTTGTTTTTTTTGGTGGGGGAATTCTTTGATTCGGATAATGGCACAGAACTACGTAATGGCCATCTGCGCTTGCCATATATAATTTTGTAATAAATGGTTTGTTTGTTTGTAGGTAAGCATAAAGTTACACAATGGGCTATCTGTGCTCTGCCCACCACGAGTATCAATCTAAAGGGGAGTCAGCTAACTA